GCGCATCATGATCGTGATTATTTAAACCGCAACGATTTAGACTTTATCTTAAAAAAGCAAAAGGTTCATATTTTGTAATCTGACGTATTAATGTTTAACGAATAATAATAAATAATAATATAATAAATAAATTGAAACAAATGATTTTCAAAAAAATCAAGATGCATTAACATTTAAACAGGAAGCACGTGCTCCGAATGTCTGATATGTGTGCACAAATTCGTATAATATCTATACAATAACTCTGTGTGTAGGTGTATCGTAATTATTCGTATCGCTAAATAATTTTAAAAAAAATGTAAAGAGAGAGAAAGAGAGAGGATTTAAATCGTGCTTATAATATAATGCGTGTAGAACAGTTCTCCTTCTCAGTTACATTGCTAATAATCCACCTTGTATATGCACGTACGACTACGTACATTAACCATATCCGGTTCGCTTGTACTCAGCGACCAATTTCTTTACAATGCCTAAGAAATGTATTTTTTTCGTTTACATAGTTAATTTGCATGGTTCAATAGCTTCACGGTCCGCAAAGAATGGAAAGACTCGGCGAGTCGATTGTCGGTGAGGTGTCCTTGTGAACGCGATCGCGCTGGATAACTATTAACACACGTGGTTGTACATGAGACCGATTGAGAGATCGGCCGGTTAATCCACCGCAAGTAACGCAGCTTCACGCAATCCGAGCACCAATGACGGAATAAAATTCCCATTTCTTTGACGCGGGTTGTTGGGGAACAGCGCAAAACGTTCAATGACATTTTTTGTAACCTCGTGATAAGATGCAAGGTTGATCGAATTGTCCGGACAAACGTAAAGCGAGATCCAGAGTTAAATTGTTGAATTTGTCTTTGGATTAATGACTGTGGTGATCAAAGCGGCGCAAAATAAATTAATAACATCTAACGTGACAACCGTTTTCTTGTTTTTCTAATGGTGCGTTTAGAATTACTTGTCCTTTAGAAGCAACAGATATCGTTTAAGTTTGATTTTAAAGCACAGTAAATACTCGGCATAGATCTATCAAAATAGGTCTATGAATTTTTTGTTCCATAAATAAAAATAATCGGGATTTTCAATTCTATGTCATTCTATATCCACAAATTATAACTTATTTGCTGGTGTTTAATTAGAGGCCAAAAATATTTTGCTATTGAAATTTTGAGTTCAGTTTTTTCATATGAATTTTCTTCTTATCAAGGAAAATTTGAAGGTTTTTAACAGTTAACGTGTATCCGTTAATGCAACGTTTATCCACCTATCCGTTTGATGAGCGAAATAGTAGAGGTAAAAGAAAAAAATTCATCCGCGGAAACTGGCGCGTGACTTCTTTTACATCCGGTACATGAAAGTGCTAAATGGCCATTACTAAACGTCAAGAGCGTGAAACGACTCATCAACGTTGGAGCAACAGCCCTAGTATCGTTCCTCTCTGTCTCGCTGTACCTATAAACGAAAGTCCCTGAAACGAAAACTGCCTACTTCCGAGCAATAAAGACCAATGCCGTAATCATCGTGATTTAACATTGACTCGACCACCGGGAGTCGTCATATAAATGAAATAATGTTTTTATATAAAATCTTCAAGAACATACTCGTCATTTCAAAGTGGTAAATGTAGTTTCTACGATGGTAAACGTCGTGTCACTATGTATGTTACACGTGGCATTCTTTTGATGTTGGAACGAGGTCTGTTCTTCGTAGCTGCACTATATTTCCACTCTTCAAAAATAAATATATAATTTGACAGTGAAGAGAAAATGCATTCTAAAAAATATCGTTATGGATTTAACACCATGCGATGCCTATGCAGGGTGTCCCAAAATTCGTGAATTAAAATATTACAACAAGAAGATCCTCGAAAAATTAAATAAAAAGGTTATTTGTTATTTTTTATTTTAAGTAGTAATTTTTTAGATATAAATGGTTTAAATATGATCAATTACAGACTACATTTAGACTATCACTTGTAACTATCATTGAAGTGAGCGCTCACCAACGCTCACAAACACCCGTGTGTGACTCATGGACAGGTGGCTATCTAAACATAGTTTATTATTGGCCACATTAAAACCCTTATATCTCAAAAATTACTGCTTAAAATAAAAATTTATAAATAATTTTTTTATTAAATTTTTCGAAACCTTTCTTACTGTGATATTTTGTTCGCGAATTTCGGGACGCCCTGTATAATTTTACCATGTTACTGTTATTAATCAACATAGTGTGAATTTAAAACCATACATCAACACCATCATGGTGTGGATATAATTCATAATGTTAATATTAACATCAATACGGTAAGAATGTAACACATAGACATGTGTTACATTCACACCGAGAGTATGGGGAAAATGAAAGAAACAAAAAAATTCAGCTATAAAGAACAAACCGAATGTTTCTACTCTCTAAATTCTTTGAAGCGAATATCTAAAGAATGAAATTTCACTCTTAAAAACTGAAAATTCTTTTTCAAGAGTGGCAAAATTTGCACTTTTTAGAGCAAGATTCCATAAAAAACTTCAAGAATACGAAACAAATTCTATTACTGGATATTTCACGTGCATTTCAAGAGTTACAAATTGTCTTAACTATTTTGAAGCCAATCATATGATCTTTCGGATATACGCGTGCGAAACTATGACGGTGTTAATTGACAATCCTCTGATGTTGTGTCAGGCGATTGTCAATATTTCGAGTTTAATTATGGTACCCTAATTGGTATCCAAAATATGGTATCCAGAATTATGGTACCCTAACTTCGTGGAGTTTAATATTCAATATTTTAGATGTTACGGCAAAGCCCTCTATTCCGAATCCCCTTTTATTCTGGAACAGCTGTTCCCCTGTCAAGTGGAAGTCTCCTCTTACGTCGCTCTCCCACTATGCCGTTTGCCACGTGATCGCATAGCCATGCGTGGAGTGAGAAAACGAGTAAAAGACGGAGAGTGAGCGATGACATTTTCGTTTCACGCATATTTCGTCAGGATAAGAGTTTGGGGATTAAGGGGCGACTCCGGAATAGACAGGCAGTTCGGTTTCAGTGATTCTAGAATACTGTACAATATTCTTCTGTGAAAACGCACGAAAACAGTCTCTATATCACGACAGAGTCAATCGTGACTCAGTTTAAAGTTTTTTTTTCGCACACATTTGTCTCCCTTAATTTTTCTGAAAGAATAAAACAGCATCTACATATTGAGACACCTTGTGTACTCATTTAAATACTAATATACTGTGAAAAATAAAAGAAAGTTAATGAAAACAAGCAAAACATTCGAATATTTGGGCACTCTTGCTTGAAATAAAATAACAAAACAAATGTATAAACACTTTTTTTTGTAAACAGAAAAGTTATAATAGTAAAAAATTTTACAGAGAAAAAAACAGATGGTTATTTCTATTAATGTAGAAAAATTTTAACCTCGATTTAACTTATTCTTTATTTTTTTCGAATACTTAAAATCAGAAAAAAATAAAGATTAAATTAAATTGAAATTAAAATTAACAAACATTGATAGAAATGGACATTAGTCCCTTACAGAAATACAAGATGATGCGCGCGCGCAATTAAAACACATCATATCTAACAAGTAATAATAAAAAAATTAAACAAATGATTGGAATCGAAAAAATGTATAAAACTTTGAGTTCACGATGCTAGAAATCTCGGATGAAAAAAAATTAACCAATTGCATTGGTCATGTAATCGAATTGTTCCAATGTAACATGTAAATTCTTTCTCTGTCCGAGATCTCGGAGAAGTTTCTAGCATCGTGGACATAAAGCTTACGAAATATTTTTTCTGACTGGAATGTTATTCGATTCCTAATTGTTCCCAAAATAAAAAAAAAATTTAACGTATTAGACATCAAACGTGCTCCAATATTTAATAAAAAAGTATCTCGATAATTTTAACATCATACACATATATACCTTTTAATAAGGTCAAATCGGGTCTAATATAGAAAGTGTAAATGGAGAGATAAAATAGATCTCCTGTGTCGCTTAATGTCATTTTCGGCTCCAGAGGAAGTTCGAATTGCTTTGCGCGGCAAAGTTAACTTTTATGAACTTGCGCTCAACTGGTGATGCACTTGGCAGGATCATTACGTCATTAATCGCCGTAAGAGTGATCCAAACCTGCTCCGGTCGAAGGCGCCGAATATGAAAAGTGTAACTGACAAACGGTCGCGTTCATCGGAAAACGCAATTTTGTAAATTTTTTCAATATTATTAGTTTATACATTTAGACATTCAGTGAGAAACTGAGGGCCAATTATATTGAAAAATTATGTAACATTTGCAAAGCTGCATTTTCTGCTGAACGTAGTCAATCAGACAAGTCGATCTACTTAGGGGCGATCGATCCCGGTGAATATTCAATTGGTTTTTTGTTTCTCTCTGTAGTGTACTTACTTAATACCGATTACGATGCAAGATCCATCGTTATCTTTCATTTATTTTTAACCCTCCGAAGCTGTCGGAGTCTTGGCTCTACTCAATTTAGATTCACTAAATCTTTGTCAAACAATTCAATTTTCTTTATATTACATCTGCAAATTTCAATTATTCTTATTAAAATATATTCTTAACAATTATTCTTTTTCTTAATAGTTATGTTATTTTGTTTTCTTGAAATTAATTAGTGCCTTTTAATTAATAAGTAAATGGAGTTTTATGGACTCAGCCTCCGTAACTGTATTATAGATTTTGGCGTCAGCTCTGGAAAATTAACAGCGAATGTTTCTTTCTCTTTCTCTCTTTCCATATCGTTTTCGCGTATCTCCATCCGAAGCTTAAATAGACGTATGTATAGCACTTTAAATTCAAGAAATGCAGAGAACGGTTGAAAGAAACCGACGGTCAGAGTGCGTACTATTCTATATAATTCAGTAAATGCATTTAATCGACGCTGGCGTAATGCGCCCAGAACCGCCGAGAATGACTTACCGCCGGTTTAAGATACATGCGCGATATTGGCGAAGCCGGCCTACCTCGATAAGCGCGACGAAACACCAACAGGCAGCTCCGATCCTCGTGTCGAAGCGTGGCATGCAAACAAGGGACGTTACAGACGAGCCGCCCGGCGCGGCACGGACGGCGGTGTTCCCGCAGTCCGCACTGCCCGCCCGAGCGATGCCACTCAGCCACTGTCGACGTCGCTCTGAACGTAGTCGCGCTTTGGCCGATCGCGCGTTTCCTCACTTCGCGCGGTAATTTTCGGGCCGTCTGGCGCGTCAGTATGCAATCAGTTCACTTCGTCTGTCGGGCGATTGATTGTCGGGCACCACACCGACCGCCGACTATACACTTGATCGCGAGATGCTGCTTTGTACGCTTCAACGTCTGCCTGGCTGATCGCTTGCTCGCGCGTGCGCGCGCGCACGAACGTTTACGTACGTGCGTGTGTTTACGTTGCACGTAATCCTACGACGCGCGCTTGACATCCCGCGATCCCTCTCCGGGTCGCTCAAGATCACGAATCGTTTCGCGCGTATACCTCACTGCCGTCACGGAAATCAGCGGACCGACGACATACAGCAGCTCGATCTCTCTCTCGCACAATCGCGACGCGTACGTCCGCGTATCACGCGCGTATAAGGGCCACTGCGCGTCGACGGCG